TGTTAAAAGGGAGTTTTTCCTTCCCACTGTCATCAAATGTTTGCTCAAAAGGAGTTGTTTGATTGTTGGGGTTTTCTCTCTTTTATTGTAGGGTCTTTACTTTACAATATAAAGTGCCTTGGGGCAACCTGGGGCAAATTGAACTGAATTAAAAAGGTACTGTGAAAAATGGTGACCAGTGAGTCAATAATAACATAAGGACAGCACAAGGATTCAGAAAATCTCTAGTCAGTTTGAAGTTTCAAATTTAACACTAGCCAAAGTCGCAAATACTATATTATCCACTAGAGTTTCACTGAAGATGATGAATTGCATAGAAACATCAAAGCTTTCTCTCTTTGGAGAAATTAAATTGTAAACAAGGTCTAAAGGTCGAACAGAGATCATCATTAGAGAGAAACCCTGCCTTGAGGTGTAGCCGATATCGACATAAACATGAACATAGAAAGGTGGTATCCTAGGTGTAGCTCGTTAAAATCTTGGATGAGTTCAAATCCCAGTGACCTCAACCTCAGAGTCAAGGTCAGAGGTCAAGTCTTCTGAAAATCTTGTGAATAGGATAACTAATATAAGAAGGAAGTCACCTAGGATTTTCAAATTCATACCACAGGTGCAGCAACAAAAAATCTCGCTCAAGTTTGAATATCAGTGACCTTGACCTCAAGGTCAGAGGTCAAATTTTCTGAAAATCACCTAGGATTTTTAAATTCATACCATCTACTGGGAGTCTGAGGGGTAGCATTGGCAGCTGCCAGTATTTAAAAAAATATGCAGTCTGTGATTGAGAATATCATTCACAACAACGAAAAACAAAAGCAAACGCATATGATGAATAACTGTTTGTGCAGCTTTGCACTCCTATTTATTTTCTTGACGTACCTGAATTTGAGGGGTGGCGCGGGTTGTTTTCTTTTGCTTTTCAATGCACCTCCAGTCCTAACATATTTGTTTGGCAATTGAAAAGTTGCCGGTTTGATTCCAGCCATAAACACAAATCCCCTTTAGGATTGCATATCAGGAAGGGCATCCAGTGTAAAACTCAAATCACAACATGCAGAGCTGAAAGTTTCTGGTATATATGGCTTTCTCTGTGTTTCTGAAGACCAAAGTTTCGTTCACTCAAATAAGATTAGACACAGAGCCTCTTCTTTCATTTTCCCTTTCCATCATTCTTTCATTTCTCTGTCTCCTCACAGTCTATCTAAGCCCCCATCTCATGCCATCGCAATGCTTCTTTGTGGCACCTGGCCCTCACTGCTTCCTCTGTGAAATAGCTTTCACACTCAGTAACCTCTGTGGAATGTGAATGAAGCTGCTGCAAGGGTCATTTTTTACTACCTACCAATCACAGTCCTATGATGTGACAGCGGAGTCATAAACACATATGCATGTGCACACACACACACACACACACACACACACACACACACACACACACACACACACACACACACACACACACGTATACATATATATATATGTATATAATATATATGTGCAAAAACCCAAACAAAAGACCCTTAAACTGTGGTTCTTTTGCAGCTTGTGTACTGGTGCTGTGCTCCTCAGAGCAGTAAATAAATAATGAGAACACGGTTAAAATTCTGCCAGTATTCCATTGCTCTGCTGCCTTTTGCCTCACAATAAAGAAAAGGAAGGCCTCAGTGGGAATGCAATTTCTCTTTTTTCTTTCATTTTTACATATTTCTGTTCCCCTCTTCTTTTATCTCCCTGCGATTATTCCCTTTTCTCTACTCTTTTATGTCTCGTTCTCCCTTAAAAAACTTCTTTGCTGCGTCTGAAATTCACTGCTGTTGTTACCTTGCTATTCCTGAGTGTTTGCCATTAACATTTTTGCAAAACAAAAGCTCCCAATTCATCTCTCTTGTTCATTTTAGCAATGCGGAATGTGCCAGAAACACACAAAAAAGAAAAAAAAGTGAAGCACTTCACATTAGAAAATAATTTGCATCTCCTTTCTTTTAAATTTCTCCAAAGGTACTCATTATTTAAAAATACTTTTAGCAGTATATTCTTTTCCTTTCTTTTAAACCAGTAATTGTCATTATCTTGTCTCACCGCACCTTTAAGAACCACCAAGTTTTTTATGTATTGAAATGACAACTTAAAAGGAAAAGAATTACATGCTAAATGCTGATAAATAACGCCAACGCAGCTCTCATAGAGGACTACCAAAAAGGATTTAAATGCTTTTTAGCTTTTCCATTTAAAAATGCCCTTTTTAAAAAAATGTCAGGACAAAGGTGAAGTTGAGTGGAGATAGAGAAGGGCGGCGACCTGCAGGCTACATCCCCTTTGTTCAGGTGGGAATGAAAGAAGCAGTGGTGGGTAATGTGAAATGACAACCACTGGTATTTAAGCTGGAGACGGATCATAATGCGAGCCAGATCTGTCCGTTTAAATGCGATGCTCTCTACTTTTCTCTTCCTTGTGGACAGTTGATATTCCAGAGGATAATAAGATAACACTCTGACATTTTGTATTGAGATGAAGATCTAAAGCGGACAGATTGGGGCTGAATGATGCACATGAGTGCAACAGATAACAAGACGACGAGATCGGCGTGTGTGTGTGTTTCCTGTGAGTACTGCTAAGTGTGTGGGGTGCATTCGGTATTACTGGCTATGCAGCAAAATACATGTAAGCCTGTTGAACCAGACACAGCCACCATGAAATCCTGTTTCAGACTGGCTTACAGTGAATAACACACACAAAGGGGAGGCTGAATGTGTGTGAGAGAGACACAAAGAGGGAGAGAGAGAGCAGCAGATAAAAACAAACTAAGTGGCACAGGACTAGATGTTGACAAAAGGGTGGTCTTAATTAAATGGCAGTTAATAAGGGTCTATGTGTGATGTATTAGAGAGGATTCACACATATAAAGATGGAAAAACAGAAAAGTGGCAGGCAGAAAATTAAAAGGCTAATCTGAGTATGGCACCATGTCATTCTTGTCCCATGGAGCGTCTTACTTTTCCAGCCTTGTGGTACTTGGCATTGGCGCTGCAGCAAAGGTGCCACTAAAGCCTTTCTAAATAGAAAATAAGTGGTGTTCTGAGTGTGAGCACAGAACTCCACAGGGAAAACTAGGGAGAAGGAATTGTACCCACAAATATCTCCCAGGCTGTGCAGATAGTTAAAATGAAACATCTCCATATGCCTCCGCCTCACCCTCCCCTCAGCAGGTCATTTTGATTACTGCAGAAACCCCTTGTTTCCACCCCTTCTCCACTTCACCAGTGATCTCCCACACAGTCATTTGCATTTTCTATCTTGGCTTTCTTCCATATCTTTCGATTTATCCTGTCACACCTGTTATTCACTTGTTTTTCTTCTTTTCCACCCCCCTGTTTCGCTTCCCTCCTTCTTTGTGGCAGCACAGAACCTCATCTAAATGCACAGCCAGTCATCAGCTCTCTACCTGCTCTGGGCATTTTTATTGGAATGAAAAAGTGCAATCATCCTTTTTCTTTCTGATACATCTCAACAAGGGTTGACACTGAATTGCTTAAATGAACCGATTCCACACTTTTCTTGCACATCTTGGTAGTACAGTGCATGAAAATCTTGATATTTCATTCACTTTTATGTGGCGTTGCTCGTTATCTTGTCCTGTCCTGCCGAAACAGAGCGCATAGACTTTCTAGTGCTTGCTCTCTTGCCTGCAGACAAGCAGACCAAGAGAGGCAGGGGAGAGGAGAGTGTAAGGAGGAGGGAGAGGGTAGCAAATGAGGTGTGGGTAAAAATTATGGGGGACTGGAAAAGAGAGCAGTGGCCCAGCCCTGGATATGGAGAGAAAGAGGGTGGGGGAGAGACAGAGGAAGAAAGAGATTTTACAGTGTAAAACCAGAAGATGCAGTTTTAGTAGTAGTGCGACGTGCAGATCAGTAAGCTCCTTCACCGCTGGGGAACAACCGCCTTTTGTTTCTCCCCCTCCACTGCAGTGGAGGGGGTGCATTTATCGTCTTGCCCAGGGGGAGACGCCAAGAAGTATCCTCCAATCAGCCTTTAATGATTTCTCTCATCTTGTGAGGCTGCTGACGGTGATGTATCACTGACCTGAGACTAGCGCTGCACTCTGCACAACACTCTAACCACCTGGAATGCTCGCCATGGTTTTTATTTCTTTTCTTACAAATAAATATCCTCCTGTGGATGTTTCAAAGGGAAAGACCAGTGGACAAAAGAAGGATTAAAATGGACTTACTGACTGATGTTCTTGAATTTCCTGCAGCACACTGAAGATGGACTAACTTTGACACAAGCACAGGACATATATTTTTACACCCACCACTCTAACAGAAAGGCAGCGTTTGTCACAGCGTGCCATGCCATATTTTATTCTGAAAGCATGGCAGGCTGAGAAACATCCTAAATACTCAACTGCAATAATCATGTAGGACTGACACTCAGGTAGAGGTAGATGATGATGCTGAGCAGGAGGTGGAAAGACTGGGTGACAGTTGGAACTGGCTTGCCTGCTGAGCCTGTCTGGCACTTCACTATAGGTTGATTGGCCGTCTGCTCTCGAGAGTTCGACTATCAGGTTGTTTCTCCCAAGTTATCATGCGGTTCATTGAGTGTATTTAGCTTTCCTCTGTGCTTGTGTGAGTGAGGATGCCACTCGGTGTGTGTGTGTGTGTGTGTGGAGTTTGGGATTACACAGCCTCTGGAAAGAATACAGGTGTAGCAGACCTTGAATAAAGATTAGCAGCTGTAACACCTTGTCACTGGCAGCAGACAGCGTGATGGTACTTTGAGACAAGACTTTCAATCTATGACCTCTTGCTGGAGGATTAATGATAATGCTCTGAGTAATATGATGACACTTAAAGGGCAAAGGAGGAGACAGGAATATGGCATATTCTAATTCTAGTTTTCTTTGAAGGAGGCAGACTGAGGCTAATCCTAAAGCAAACGGGAATTTCAATTCATATTTAAATTCAGTGAGACAGTTTACAACAGCTTTATTTGAAGAGTTAAAAGTAAAGCATCAGAATTAGTAACAGTGCAGAGCATGTCTGCAAATTCCTAAGAAATAAGGTGCCTTTCTAAATGAATTAATTGGATATGTAGGATGAACATTGGTGGTACTTGTCATAAAGAACCTTGAGCTCAACAACAACCCACCCAGCACAAAATCCAGCTGATCAATGAATCAGTTTTGTATTGATTTCCCAACACAGACGGGATAGGAGGTGTCAGTAATTATAATCAATCAGTGGGTCCAACCCATGAGCAGTTAGGTATAGTCCTGAGTATGGTTTAGCTGAATATGAGTGGTTAATAACTGGTCATGACTTCTGACAACAGATCAGATAAATGCTGCAATTTGCTGTAACAATCTGCAAACTTTACAGTTTCTGTATGTTTTATTTGCTTGTATTGTTTGGAGAAGCTTTATGAAAAATGACAGTTTTGCTGATAGTTACAGGAAAATTGGCACTCCCTCCGTGCAGTAAAGCTTGTAGTTGAAAGAATCGTGTCTTGTTTCCTGTCTTGATGTGTCTGTAGGTGTGCTTGTCTTTAGGTTGTTGTCTGTGGCATGCAGCTTATCTTAGCTGCACAGCAAGGGCTTAGAGATCCAGGCTACTGGCATAACGGGCACCACCCAACCTGCCCCACCTCCTTACTCGGTGCATTTCAATAGATTTAAATTATGAAATTACTTTAAACACGCATTGATCGTTAAGTGGAGGATCAGAATAGGTAAAGAGGGTTCTAAAAAGACACTGAGGAGGCTAAATTATCTCAGCAGCCACACTCAGCAGTCCTGGAAAGAGAGAAAGAGTGTAGTAGATGGGAAGCTCCAAGTGGCAGCGATGATAGCAGAAGGAAAAAAGAAAACTGAGGCAAATTCTTTGATAGCTGCATTGTTTGCATCTAACGGGCTCAAAGAGCATTTTTGAAAATGTGCTTTTTGGAAGTTTAGTTCTTTGAGTGAAAAAGACTCAGGAATAGCGTGGGAGAGTTCAGCGAGAGTTCTTCTGGGAAAACTTTGTCTTTTAGTGCAGTTTTTCAAACTAAAAAGCCACTGTAGCAATTTACAGCAAGCTTTCCGTGTGATCATTTTTGAAAAGTTACTGGATAAGCACAACATTTTATGCCTGATCTATTGAATGACACACAAACCAGCAGGACTCTTGAAGCACATCTTTTCCACAGATCCAGCCAAAAATCCTTCCTGATCTACAACAAGCACACAAACTTAAACAAGACACATTTCTGCTTGCCATGGAAACAGAAACTAACACGTGGGCTCGCTGCTCTGAAACTATCTCCACGTTTAAATTTACTCTGGATTACAACACTTGAGCTGCAAACAGCACGGAAGAGAAGCGAACAGTGACACAGCCAATTAAACTGTGTTCTTCCCAGCCAGGGATGTGTTGTGTGTTACTCTGAGGACTAGTTGTATGCTACAACCCTGCGAATGAGGGTGGGGCTCTCCCACTGCCATAGACAAAGACTGCACAAAGAATCCTGGTGTGAGCGTTGGTCATCTGGGGCAGTTGTGGGACCCGCACAGCCACGATGGGGTGCAACATGTGTGTGGTCCAAAAACCTGAGGAACAATACAGGGTCATGTTCCAGGTGAGCTGTCTGTCTCCTCTCCTCTCTTTGTCCTTTGACTTTCTTGAATTTCTTTCTTCGTGAGTCTTCAAGCGGAAGTGTTTGCGTGTGTCCCCAAAGTATTCTTTGTTATTCTCTCCCAACTTGTTATTTTCCTTACAGTGAAGCTGCTGCACAGGTCACAACCACCTTTCTAAATCAGCAGATGCTCAACATTTCTTGCCAACAATTTAACTAAACCATTTACACACCCAAAAAACAACACAAAAAACTGTTTTGAATCCCAAATAAATTTTGCATAAATGAGCCACTCTGATTAAAACAACAAAAATAAAATCCATAGAGTCAGCTCATGACATTAGCTATAAATTATGTGCATAGAAAGATGTTAATGACATGTTGGCCACAGTTATTTAAACTGAAGCAAATGTAAAGGATAATAAATATCTCTAATTAGTAAATCAAAACACAACGTTAGCACCACATCACCATTTCTTCCTTCACCAACCTGATTTATATTGGTTATATTGATCGGATCATAATGTGATTAATGAATATAGGGTGTGTGTGTACCTAATATATTAAGATCTTACAATGTTTCTGTGTTTCTGAGTGGGGAAAGATCAGGAGCCTATTCGGGCTTTTTAGGCTATGTAAGTATATTCAAATTAATTGTTATAAAATACAGCTACACAGATTTGTATCTATGCATTTTTATTTAATATCTTTCCAAAAAAGTGTGTTTACCTGTCCAGGTACTGCAGATGAAAATCAGCTCGTATTTAATAAATAGTTTTGCAGTATAATTTGTATCTTCCTCATATGTTTTCCCACGTTCTTTAAAAATTGTCTGATTATACTCATTACTTCTAAATAGAATTTGTTTAAAACCTTCAACTGTTACCCTCATTTTCTCATTTACCTACTTGTAAGTTTTTTCGGTGCTGGAAATGATAAGCTGAATGCAGGAAAATTACAAGATAACGGTTGTGAAGTTACACTGTAAGTCATGGTATGTGCTATAAAAGGCTGTTTGTCCTTGACAAATAAAGAAATGAATAAAACTAGTTGCAAATAAACATCAATAAATAAAGTTAATTACGTGAATCAGCCCGACTGATGCAAACTCAAAGTCATAACCTGCTTTTTCTTCTCTCCTCTGTTTTATGGATTTTTATACATGTATAAATTAGCCTAGTACCTCTTGAACAAGCCTGCTAATTGATGTATTGGAATAGTCATCTAGTGACAATAATACTGATAATTATGATAATGGTACTTCACAGTGATTATGATGATATGATCTGAGAGAACAGGGTACCACTGCATGAGATGCAGAGATAGGCTGGCACAGACAAAGTAGCCTTGTGGTGCAGAGCCACAGAGGCATGAGGATGGATGGGTTGTTAAACTGGGCTAAAGTGTTGTGAGAGAGAGGGGTTGCCACGGTTACAGCTTCAGCACCACCTGCCAACTGGGACCACAGACTGAATGTGAGTAAGCTCATCTGGCTGTGCAGTGCCTAAAGGAAGCTGCTGCTTCGCAACGCCGTGATGCATGCAGTGACCGAAAAGAGGTCCCATGCTTACTAAGCATGAAAAATGCTCGGCACACATAGCTATGGAGTGCAACACTTGTAGTATCTGTGGCACCAGAAGCCTCAGCTGAAACTCTATTGCCTGCTGAAGTCGGGGTGTAAGCCAGTTAACTGGGTTGCATCTGGTGCCAAAGGCAATGCCAAGAGAGAGGAAAACAGGAAGAGAGCCCAAACAGAAGCACAGTTATGTGTCAAAGAGGGAGTCCAAGCATGTGAATGAAAGCGTCTGGGAAAGCCTGACTGTCTTTTCTCCCCGCTGCTTGTCCTTAGATGTCAAAAGTAATTGATTTGAACACTTCAGGGAGCAGGGGCGAATATAGAGGTTTGAGTGACTTCACAAATCCCCAGGGTGGAGGGTGAGGGGTGAGGAGGTGGCGTGCACAGTTTGGTATGTGATCATAAATTCAGAGCATGGGTGGATCATTCCACAATCAGTGACCTTACCTAACAAGAGTCAGCAATAACGACACTGACTGCATGCAGGTCAGCATTGTGGCAAGTAGAAAACACATAATTTCATTAATCGGGTGATTGTGAAGTCAACTGTACTCGAGGGTTGTGTCAGACATAGGCATCTGTCAAGGTTTGTCATCCCAGAGTCCATTCAGCTTGATCAGACACCTGCACGTGCCTTCCAGACGGGTGTGGTGAGGAGTGGACTGAAGAGTGACAGCCGTGAAAATAGGGTGTATGATTTGGAGCAGGCAGAAGACTTGTCATGTTGCAGAGAAAGATGCTTTCTCTGCACCCAAAAGTATTGAGGTGGTGAGACAGCAAGACTACATACAGTGTGGTCTATTAAACATGAAAAACAAGTATGAGACAAGAGAGCGAACGCAGATGGGGTATCAAAGCGGAGCCAAAGCCCTTGGCTTAGAGAGGCTGATCGCTACAAGTGCAATCAGAATATTATGAACACTAGAAGTCTCATAAAAGAAGCACGAGCTGGTTTGTGCTAAACTGCTAAAAAAAAAGTAAAACACTTAAGAAGCAAAAAAAAGCAACAGGAAGGTGATCAGAAACCTGCTTCTCTACACAAAATTCAATCAAGGTTATTTTACGGTAACGATAACTGAAAAAGCAAATCTTGCTGTGCAGATGGCTGAATAATCCAAAGATCACGCCAAGCAAAAAATTGAGGTACACGGCACTTAATCATTAAAAAAAACATCATAAAAGAGAAACATAATTACACTTGCACCCCACATTTCCTGGCTTTCCACGCTATTCATTTTCCCTTTAGAGGGAAGCGGCTTTGAGCTGTTTTCCTTAACTAACATGTATAATTATACCTTCAAATTAGATGCAGTCTACTGAGTAACTGAGTCTGTCTTTAGACAATAAATACAGCGTTAAACAGCTTACAGCTACATCGCGCTCTAAAACCAGCCTGTTAAATCTGACTATATCAAAACACTTGCTTCTCTTGCCAAAGGAATAAAACTCATGCATTATACATTGGGCCTCTGCTACACATACGCTGCATACTGGTGGTTGGTACACACCCATTGGCATGTTTCTAATCAATACTGCGTCCTACAGCCACAAGTAAGAAGAAATATTTCGGTTCACTTGATGAATCGCAGAGCTGCAGGCAGATATGAATATTACCAACCATTTTTTAAGCAGCATTTTATTTTACATACATTTTACAGAGTACCTGACCCACACACTCAACAAACCTATTCCTCCCCTCTGAGCCCTTCAGCCGCTCCCTTCTTTTCCTCTCCCGTCACTGTAAAGCAGGAGGCTGTTTCCATGGCAACCCGCGTCATTAAACGGACCTGATGTGCTTTCATTCACGGTGACAAGAAGAAACATGCTGACACTCGCAAGAAGCAAACACATCAGAATCGATACATACCAATGACCAGCTGATGAAGCTGGATAAGTGCACAGAGGCAATCACACCCAGCCGGTGCACCCCGGTGTGTGTGAATGACAAACGCAGCCGCATGCTGGCACATGTGGACAGAATAAAGACACATCTGACAGTATACTGTAACATGATTTACTACAGAAGTATTTCAACAGCATGCTGTACTGCAGTGCTATCATATTGGAGTTATGATATCATTCACCGATTATATAATTTATCTTTATTTACACCTTTTCCTATAAATACTTTAATTGAATTGGTTAAAATACTATTTTATTCTATCTAACATCTTAAAACTGGCGAGAAATTGTTTACAGCACATTATAAAGTAGTCAAATATAAGGTGAAGTGCTGCTTCTATAAATCCTACCTAAACAATTTAAACTCAGTTGTCTCATATAGCCATTCTTTATATGTTTATACACCAACATCCTGTTCACAGGAGGAGCTAAAGATATTGACAAATACATCAAAATGAGCAGATGGAGAGTGCATTTTTCTGCCAAGACTGTCAGTTCCCTCCTTCCCACGAATGGGTTTAGTCCCTGGATCAACAAGAATAACTGGATCCCTCTAAGCCTGTCATTTTTTCTTAAGATAATCAAAATGATGTGTCTCGATTTTTCTTATTTTAATTTGATATGTATTTGTGAAAAAATGACAAGAAATGAGGACTGCGATGATTGACAATATCAGTATCAGTTCAGTGACCGTGATAATGATGTTACTGCAATGTCGAAAGAAAAGAAAATAATGATATCAGTCAAATTCTGGTGTTTTCTGGTCAATTAAACACAAAATACAATTGCAGGAGACAGTCTTTAACAATACCCATACAGTCACTCAGTTATTTAGAATAATATCAGAATAATAGATGAATGACTGGAATCATTTCCATGTTGTTTATTTATTAGATGGCATTTCAGCTTTTAAATATCACAGTTTCTGTATTAGTAATCATGAAACTGGTGTGTGGAAAATGTCCAATTTGGCCTATCTCACAGTGGCAATCCAGATCCAGATTCGGATATGGATCATTTCCAAAAGTTAATCACTTCTAAGTTGGGTCCCAGCTGTGATAAGATTTTCATGAGTAATTGTGCAAACTAACAGATAAACCGAACGATCACATAACCTTCTTGGCATCAATATGACTGTGTTTCTATGCAACCCTAACAGTGTGTTAGAAATAATTGAAGCATCAACTGGAGCAAAAAGGAAAAGACAAACAGGTAATTTAAAGGAGTTAAATAGACTGCCTGACAGACTGTTTGTTACCTTCTCAAGTGTCAGCTGTCTGTAATGCCAAAGGTGTGTTTGTCTATGCCCAATCTATGTATCTACCTAAGCATTTAAAGCAATTTGTGAATCCATCCATTCTCTTCTGCTTATCCTTGCGATGATCAATGTGTGAATACTTTGTCAAATCAATATCTTCTCAGTGTTATCACTTTATAATAAGACCACCACTCCAGGCTTGTCTACTTAAATTAGCTCGGTGATATCAAACAATCGGGGTTATATCTGGAGTAGGTCAGCTCTGTCTCCAGATTAATTGATTTTCTGAGGTGACTGGTGCAGCTTTCAAAGCATGGGAGGATGAGAAAAATCAATTACCAAACAAGTCAGAATTCAATAAGTCGGGGGTGGTTGGTGCAGGTATCGTTCATGCATGCTCCTGCATAAACACTGTGGAAATGCAAATGAACACAAGCTTGGAAAAACTTGGTGATGCTGAGAAGAAAAGCTTAAAGGCTGCACTTTAGATTAAGATTGATCTTATTTGTGTAGGGGTTTTTTAACCTACAATGAAGACTATGTGTGAGATAATGTGCATTATTGTGTAGTGAGTCATTGCCTTCCCTCTTCTTTTTCATCTCAGCCTGTTGTACAGCACATGGGATTAATTTGCTCTTTAAAGGGCTCTCGGATAAAAACTAATTATGCATCAACCACTTAGTAATTCCCCGTAAGCTCCATTGTGTGTGTGTTTACATGCAAGTCTCGATCGCAGTGTCAGGCTCTCTCTCTGTTTACATTTACCCGGTGAATTCTTGAAAGCTTGTTTTCTACATCTCTCCATCATCATTACACCTCTCTTCACCTCCTTTCCGCTCCTTATGTCTCGTATGCTTTGCTTTCTCCGTCTACACTTTGAACTCAGCCTCTCTTTCATCTCTATCCACAACATCCCCACCCTCCACTTCACAGCCACCGTAGATACCACCACCGGCAGCCCCCTGCTGTGAATCTCGGAGACTGTTTTTTCTGAATTTTAATATAATTTTAAATGTAAATAAACTACACAAGGAGCCTGGGGATGGGTGAGCAACAGAAGCTTTTGTTTTTTACATTTTATTTTTTTGTGAGTGCATAGTTTAGCTTCTAAACCGCAAATGTACATAATGACCCAGTAACCCAGAGAAAATAGAGTACAGCATTTGGAAAGAGTGTAATGGATTGTCCATCAAGTCGGATCTGAAAAGCTGCCTAACACACAACAACGTTTACCCCGCATGAAGTCATCTTAAAAGCAATCTCAGCACCTCTCATTGATAATAAATGAGAAAGCCCCCTTTTACCCCTTCTATCAGTATTCATACCTGTCACTCATGACCATGGAGCTGACTTCTAATAGCCTCTCTCTGATCGTGAAGGGCATACAGCACAGGAACAATAGAAATGTCCTACAGTGAAAAATAGATAATGAGTTGAGTGTTGCAACAAACATAATACAAAACACACAAATTGTAGATTGTTAATTCCTTCATCACTAGTCGGTCATGCAGGGAGGAAGTGTCTTATTTGTAGTGAAGAGCCTCATTAAGAAAGGCAGCAAGATTTATGGAGGAACATTAGTGAGAGGAAGGTGGGCCAACAGAAATAGATGGAAATAGAGGAGTGCGAATTGCTATCTCGAGGGAAGGGACAGAGCAGACAGAACTGCTGAGGCAGCATGGCAAAATAAATGCAGAGCCTGGAGAAAACTGGAGAGAGAAGAAGCAGGAGAGGACATGGCTTTAGATGCAGAGAACAGAAAGGAATTTGATGCTATGGAAAAACACGAAAGGTAGACCCCAAGGGATGGAGATGCAGTTGCTGTAGGAGTATGTGGGAGAACCAATGTGGGGAAGAAAAAAAGTGTGGGGAACAGGAGCCCAGTGCGGCAAGAAAGTTTTTGTGCTTGGCTGCACAGGGGAACATTGATTTGACATGCAATTACTGGAAGGGGACAAGATTTGAAAGAGGGAGTGGGCACATGAAGCAGAGTGGTAAAGATGTGGCGAGTCGCAGACAGCCAAGGTCAGTGACTGTGTACAACAAGAATGAAATTATACCAAGGCTGTCTGGCTCAGTAACATTGGTATGCACACATCTTCATTTTGCTGTCTCTCATATGGAATGACACCAAGAAAATTAAATTCATCTACATGTGATGTAAATGTCTTTAAATTAATGGTATTTTAGATTGAAATTTACAAACGTGTGACGCATTGGCTCTATGAGGCCCCAGTTGTTGAAGCAATGATAATATTCTGATCCTTATCCTTAACAGACTGCATAAAAAAGATGAACAAATCCACTGTGACAGCAACCTGTGTTTGTCATCTTGGAGTGTCTTGAAATGCGACATAATGAGCAAGGGGGTGACTGATAAACCAGCAATCGATTAGTGCCAGCGGAGGCTTGCTGTTTAGCTTAATTAGTATAGGTTCATCAGAAACCCAACTTTAGTCTCCCATTTGACTCTAATTGAGGCCATAATATATAAATCCAAAATCACTGTATTCAGACTTAAAAATAGCAATCATGACCACAAACTGAAAAAGAAGCTAAACACCTAAAACAATTATTCAGTCCTGCTTCTGTACCAAAAGGCCCGTAGTTTTTAGTTTTCACAAATGCACTAGTATTAATATGCCAGAACTGAAATACACTTATGTCTTTTAGTTTTTCTCACAGGGAAAATGGTTTTTCCTTATAAATTGCTAGCATTCTGCTAATTGGTAACATGACACACTCCCTTGTTGGCATTTTAAATCATTTTCAAAAGATTACTAGATATTAGAAGTTTACAGTAAAGCTAAAGTACTTGCAGAAATGCACTTCACGGTAGTATAGTCTGAAGCTATATCCATCTTTTATATACAATATATATTTTATACATAATTTTCAATAGCTAGTTAGCTTAAAGCTATTGTTAGCTTCCATGCTAGCATGCAATACCATGCAAATGTCTAGAGCCATGCCATCTTTATTTAGATTTATCTTGTAAAGATCCAGAGTTTCTTGTAGTTTATTTTTGTTAAATTGATCATTTGATTATGATAATGATCCCAAACACAATGCCAACCAATAAAAGCACACTTAGATAGAAAAACACAATGGGACACTATCCTTGGATCTCAAAATTACTGAAGGAGTACGACTACGGCATTCCATCCAAAGAATCTCTTTGAAGAAGCATGGAGAACTATTGCTGAAGACTACTTACATTTACTCAGATATACATGAAATATTGCTTAAGAGAGTTAAGTCTGTGTTGAAGAATAAAAGTGGTCAGACTAAATGGTGGCTTTCAGTCTCATTAGAATTGTGCAAATTATGTTTTTCCTCATATACTGTATTTTAATACAAGCATCTTCCAATAAATCCTGCAGCTATTTCAATTTCCTTACCAAACAAAGAAATGAGGAGTGACTCGAGAATTTTGCACAGTACTATAATTGCAAATTAGAAATAAACCACTGAGTATAATGTTAACTATAATTAGTTGTTTGTCAACTAAAATATTGAAGAAATTAGGGCTATTGTTATAATAAAAGAGTACTGAAATCACATGTTGTGGGAAAGCTGAATGTATAAAATACATAACATTTCATTCTGTGGTGGTAGTCAAGCCAGTTTAGCCTGAATACTGAATGAATCTTTCTCCCTTAGGTTTGTGCAAAGCACTGCTTGGTATGATAAGGATTGTTTTGCTTTAAGTCACCTTGAAGGCAAAATCCTTGTACTGTTTCATTTTTTTCTCCAGTTGTATTTTCAATAATCTTACATTTTTAATGCCCTCTCTCCGCTTTGCTGTTCGAACAGTACATGGACAGAAAGGAGAAGTTTCAAAAGCCAAAGGATATTAAAACAGCACAAGTGAATCAAAACATACACAAGCAGGAGCAGTATACTGTGGCGTATATTTGGGTCTGTTTAAGAACATAAAAGTATGCTTAATAAAATATCTGAAATACCTATGAAACAGGTATAAATGTTTTCCCGATCAAAATTCTGAAAGTCTAATTTGCTGGCAATTATGTTACGAAGGTTTTCAGTTTCATTTCCCACTCTTCTGTAAAAAGAAGGAAAATGAAACTATGTTTTCCAGATTGAAAGATTTATGCAGAGAGGAATCACCTTTATTTTGCACAGACAAAAGATAAAAGTGTTTTGCAGACCAGAATGACTAACGTACTGAGGAAACTCCATTTGATATTTGTCAATGTTGAAGCTTAATATGCGATTTTTCTCTGCCATTACCTTTGGTCCTCTCCATTATAAGAAAAAAAAAAGTTCTCAGTGACCCCTTTCCATTTTCCATCTATTCACAGTTGTAATTACTTTCTAACTTCACCATTTTCCTGATGGCTTTCTTTCTCTCCACAGAAGGGTCACATAAGCAACATGCTGTGCTCTTTTGATGCTGATGGTCGATTGAAGGTCTCAGTATTCGGCTTTTTGCTCTGCTGCTTGGTGTGATGTGTCGAAGCCTTTTATATAACTTGTTTTTACGCTTCTATGTCCCTGTATGAAGTCTACTAGCTTTGTGACACTTAAGTGTATGTTTTGAGTTTTCTGTTCACTAACTTAGTGTCAGTTTTGCTTTATTTTAGGTATCTGTAGCTGTAGTTTCCCCTTCTTCATTTCCGTCTGTGAACTAACCTTGCCCATTTATTCTAACTGCTGATATGAGTTGCTATCTTCCTCTCCTCCACTTCTTGTCATTCATATCAGCATCTTTATGGTTCAGTTTTTACTAAAATTCCGTCTCTGGTCATTTCTGCTTGCTGTTTATTTTTTGCAGCTGTGGAAAATCTACAGCTTATTTCTTCTTCCTGGAATTATTTTATTTTATTCCTCTTCCTCCTCTCATTTTGCTCTTCCACTATTGAATTGTGATGTTTGTTGTTGTTTTTTTTTTTTTCAGGTGAATGGGAAGGAGTTGACACGTCTGTCGGGGGATCCCACCCTGGACATACGGGACCCTGTGCTATCCAGCATACTGAGGAGGGGGGCCCGCAGACGGGCGGGCTTAGCAGGAGCTCCTGGAGGCCAAGTGCCAGTGACCATGGGCATGGCCGACTGTGTGGACAGCTGCACCCAAACAGACATCAGCTTCCAGCATATGTTGACTCTGGGCAAGAGCAGCCAGCATCCCTGTGGAGCTCCACCCCCACCCGACCCGCCACCGTCCCCTCCTCTGCCTCCACTCCTGGAACCATATCTACTCAATGAACTGTGAGTGGGAGCAGTTTAATTGGATTCTGCAGCATGTCCAACCATCAGACCAGAACTCACCTGCTGTGCTATCCCATGCCATTCTGTTCACACATTTGAAGTCGGTAGCTGCCCCAATTACTCAAATATTTCATGAATTTTCTCATCCTCAGCTTTATAGAGCCTGTATACTATGACCCCACAGACTACTTCGACATCAACCAGCATGAAGTGGACAGGCAGGATGAGCTGGAATATGAGGTGAGAGCCTATTAGCTACCTCAAAACTCTAGTACAGAAAGCTGATCCCCACTTCGTGTCTGACATTCGTTAACTTTCTTCTAACTACATCAGGAGGTGGAGTTGTACAAGTCTCGACAGCAGGATAAACTGGGTCTGACAGTGTGTTACAGAACTGATGAGGAGGAGGACCTTGGGATCTATGTAGGCGAGGTGAAGACAGTATCATGAATGTTAAAACTTTATCAGTAGTTCAAAAAAGTAGTTCCCATTTGTTCATAATTCTAGCCGTTATCGTTTTAGGTGAACCCCAACAGTATAGCTGCAATGGATGGTCGTATCCGCAAAGGGGATCGAATACTACAGGTAGAGGTTTTCTAAGCTAAGGTTCCTTTTCTATGCCATTACTTTATGTAATATTAATGCCTAAATCTGAAGTCTTAGATAACCCCGTGGACCACATCCTGTGTGCCTCATTTCAAAAGAATTTGCTAATAGCGCCACATTTAAGATGAATTCTTCTTGAATATTATTTCCTATGCTATTAAACTACAGAGAGGTTTTTTCAGTAGCTTAATAAAGAAACCCATTTTCCTGAACTGTGCACTTTAATTCAATCTAACATTGGTATTAAGGCTCTTACATTATCTGACATTATTCTCTCCTTTCACTGTCAGATAAATGGAGTGGACATCCAGAACAGAGAGGAGGCGGTAGCTATTCTCACCAGAGAGGACAGCACTAATGTATCCCTGCTTCTCGCACGACCCGAGATAGAGGTGAGGAAATTGGAGATGCAGTTTTTAGGGGAAAATGCTACAAAATTCAGTCAAAATACCCAGCGGAAAAATGCACTGTTCTCCCTTTATCTCCCTTTTTGAGCAGCAGCAAATTTGTTTGCTTGGATATAGGTGATACTACAGACATTACATTAACATTTAGTCACAAAAATGAAAGGTAATTTAGACACAAGAACAAATAAAAGAAGAGATAGAAAACAAAAGGAATAACTTGGCGTTGTGCTTTAGTGTTTCAGGAGGCAGAAAAGCAAAGGGGTGCAAAAACACGATGAGAACACAGATAACATGAAGGGAGAGACAAAGACAAATAGTGCTTGTACTCGCAGTGCTAATGTGGCACCACTTTGTTTCACTCAAGGTCACTCTTCCAGCAGATATGGGGGCACTGTAACACACATCAGACGGCCCTGAATAACATACCTCTGCCAAATTACTTGTAAAACCACAACACGTGTCGACCCGCTCAAATGGATTTTTCATTGCAAAGCTTCACAAGAACGCGCTTCATATGGAGGCAGGCAAAATATGTGAGAAAGCAAAAAATTTGTATGCGGTCTGAGTTTTAGTGCAGATTTAAAAGGCACTCATTAAAATGGTTTAAGCCAAACACACACACAAACACACAAACAGCCTGTCCTCTGTTTAAATGCGTCCTTGTGTTAGAGCACAAGCACTGGCTGTGAAAGGCTGACAAGATTTATATTGCTAAGGCATTGTCCCACATTAGGATTCAAGTGAGAGAGGGAGAATCATCAGAGGGAAATGCACAAGCAGAGATTAAAGAGATCTGTTGCCCTGTGGGAGAAAGAAGGAGAACTGAAGGGGTTTGCCAAAGAATGAGAATGAAGACGAACCTAATCAATAGCTCGCCTCACGGTCTGCATGCAGTTCACATTCAAATCAAACCAATTAGGCAAAGAGCAGGAGGAGTGAATTGTTTACTAATTTGAGACCAAGTATTTGAAATATAACTAATTAGCTTTTGAGGGGGTGCCAATCAAGTCTGCAAATTAAACAGATTAGAAAAGACAACACCTCTTTATGAATTTAAATTCTCATTAATTTCTAAAGACTGGATCACTCTCATCAACTAATGCTGATACTTACACATCATCAAATGACTTTTCTTTTCTTTTTGGCACCTAGTCCTCTCAGATTTTTTGTTTGTTGTTTTCTGTAGAGACATATTGGTAAATGGAAATCCAATGTATTTTTGAGTGTAAAAATCTTACAGAGCACTGGCTCCATCTAGTGACTCAGTTCAGACATCCACTGTAGTGGAAATTAAAGCTGCTTTTATCAGTACTGCTAGGATAAAAATTGGTCTAAATTTCCACAAAAAATCCACAAATTTACAAGGTTCTTTTTTTTTCATGTATTTTTAACTCTAAAACACTATTTTAAGGCTAATAATTCAACAGCAAGTTCATAAAGGCAGTAAAGTTTAGCCGCTGAAGTACACCTTTTGTTGGAGGCCAGATTAAAAGGAGAGTAAGTCTGAACTGGAGTCACGGATCCTGTTTTCCTGTGTCTGTTACCCGTATAAATAGGCAACTGCCTCCTTCACAGTCTACTACCTTTGATGTTGTTAAGCTGCTTTAAACTCACCTTACACTGTCTGTGTAAAATACACACAAATCGACACCCTTGCTATTCTTAAAAGGTTATTCTTTCTAAGATCAAGGGACTGAAACTAAACTGGTCAGGACGTTATGTAAGCTTTATTTAGGCCAGTATTTAAACTTAAATCATTGATCAGACTATTATTATCAGACTTTTGGGTTATTTAAATCTCACACTGAAAACATGTCTCAGCTGAAACGGAAATTATTTTTCTTTTGTAGACATGAGTCGGGTTTCTTTCTTTGTTTTTTACTGTATTACATCGATGCCATTTTAATTGTGACATTCCTTTCCTTTACACATGCTTTGTCTTAGTCAGATCGTTCATAACCATACCATCACCCACCTCAACTATACAGTTGACGTAGTTAATATTAAACGTTAAATGCTGGCTTGTCTCAAAACCCTCTGAAGTTAAATAATGATACATTTGATTTATTAGTGATTGATCTAAACATTTCCACAGTTCTGTCTCAAAAATGTAAAGCTGTCTACTTGTAACCTGGGAGGGATTTTTGACAGGTCTGTGTTGATGCTCAAGTAAAAACCATTATACAGTCATTATATCATTTTTGTCCATTAATGATTTCCACAAGGCTGCATTTTTTTCCTGACTTGATTAGTGGAATACTCTTTAGTCAGATCTCATGTCACCGAGTCACCAGGTGATTCAGAATGGCATTGCCCAGATTTTAACTGCCATCAAGAAATATGAACATATTATGACCGTATACCTGCTGAATTTCATATTGTATGTAAAAACTTACCATTGACTTTTACGATACCCATTCTTTGATTTGACCAACTTCCAAATGAATAATTTTCCTGTGTTTTTTGTCTCTTCAACAACGAACAACTGCCATCATCAACTGGTGCTGGATACACCTTTTACCTGTTAGAATGACAACCAGCTGGATCCAGATGAGCTGGAGCTGGAGCCATTAGACAATGCTGTCCACCTGGCCAGCTGTCATAGTGTGAAGAACAGCCCTTCTGTTCTGGGTGCAGGACCTGGAGGTTTTGCTGGTGTTCTACCCAGCCACAGTCATTCACTGAACAGGGATTCCCCCAGTTTGCTTCAGACAGTGCTGAGCAATAGCCAGGAGCTAGACAGTGGGGTGGGTCGTACAGATGAAAGCACACGCTATGAGGAGTCTTCAGAGCATGACCTTCTGGGAGACGACCACACTAGTGCCTCCAATACGAATGCAACCAACACACCAGGCAGCATGCGCAAATTTTTCTCCAGCCGAGGGGAAACTCCACCCTTGCTGCATTCCCAGGACCTCCAGTTTAGCACGGACTCCCTTTTAGGTCTGGAATCTGTTAATGGAGGCGGCTTGGAACAGGGGGAACGTTTGGAAAGGCCCTACAAGGCAGATCCTGTGAGGATGATGATGCCTGGGCTGACTGAGGAGGAGTGTGAGAGGTACAAAGAGCTGCTGGAAATCAAGTGTTACTATGAAAAGAACAGTAATGCTCTAACGTTACTGGGAGGTCAGGGGCCAGCACAAGAGGAAGGGGGTGTCTCACTGGATGTGAACAGGAATGAAAGTCTGACACAGCATGAGATGGCTCTCCTAGAAGAGGAACTGCGCCACTTGGAATTCAAGTGTCGCAACATCCTGAGGGCACAGAAAATGCAGCAGCTGAGGGAGCGATGCCTGAAGGCTTGGCCTCTAGAGGAAAAGAATGGGGCAAGTGTAGGGGCTGGAGCAGGAGCTGGACGCTTGGACATTAATGGTACTTTGGTCAGCGAGGAATCCTGTCACCATGCTCTTTCAGATATCAACGAGCTTCCCGAGAGGGAGCGCTCAGATAAAGATAGCACGAGTGCCTACAACACTGGAGGGGAAAGTTGCAGGAGTACCCCTCTTGCCAATGAACAGTACCCTTCACATTCCACACAGAGTCTGGAGGGAGGAGAGTGTCTTCACTCAGCAGGTATGCAGACTCCAGCGTCCACTCGGCAGAGAGAGAGAGGAACCAGAGGGGACGGAATACAAGAAAACTTAAACCAACCCTATTCTCCCCACGCTCACAGGCGAGGGGCTGAAGCAAAGACTTCCAGCCCTGGTGCAAAGGTTAGGTCCCTGTCCAGAGATGGGGGAACCAGGAGGGGCTCAGATGGAGGAGTGAGACGTAATCCCAAAGCTAACGGAATGGCTGACAGGGGTGGTGGACGCAGTGCAGAAAACAGCCCTTATTTGTCTCGCCGTCAGACTGAAACACAGCCGCCTCAACGCTACCTGAGCTGCATGCAGCTGAGGTCCCCCTCCACCTCTGAGCAGCTGGGTGGACTAAGAAATGCTCCCAAAGAGGGCATCATAGATAATGGAGGCGATGCAAGCCCAATGAGCCTGGGTAGCACATGCAAAGATGTTACCCAGGCCCCAGGTGCTGCATCCTTACCCCTGTCTCCTCCACTGCTGCCTGCCTCCCCTCGAATGGAGTGGAAGGTGAAGATTCGCAGCGATGGCACGCGCTACGTGGCCAAGCGGCCTGTGAGGGATCGCCTCCTGAAGGCACGCGCCATGAAGATCAGAGAAGAGCGCAGCGGCATGACAACAGACGACGACGCTGTAAGCGAAATGAAAATGGGACGTTATTGGAGCAAAGAGGAACGCAAGCAGCAGCTGCTGAAGGCCCGAGAGCAGCGGCGGCGCAGAGAGTTCATGATGCAGAGCCGCCTCGACTGTCTGAGAGAGCGTGAGAGGGAGCAGGGAAGCAGCGGAGGAGGACAGCAGGGAACCGAACAACAGCAAGAACCAACTTCAATCCTGGAGTTGTGTCACCGCAGGAGCATGAAGAAGCGGAGTCGCAAAATCCTGGACAATTGGATCACTATACAGGAGCTACTGGCTCATGGAACCAGGTCTGCGGATGGGAAGAAAGTCTATAACCCCCTGCTGTCTGTCACCACAGTCTGAGGAAAGAAATGATCAGAGAGTGAGGGCAGAGAGTTAGGAATATAAGAAAGTGCCAAAGTGTTTTACTTTCAGGATGAGCAGCTTCAGTAAACCATGGCACAAATGTTAATCTGCAGAGATGCCGCAACACAAATTCATGATGGTAAATGACTGTAATGATTACAAAACCTTAGGCCTGAGTTCAAAATCCAAAAGGAAAACTGTCACGTTCTGTGTCTAGAAAAACACGCAGTCGAAATGATCATTCATTGAAGAAATGAACTCGAAGCCCACAAATGCAATGCATTTTAAATACACTGTAGCAGACCTATAGACCTAAAAGACACAGAATTAAGTAAACAAAACGATGTCTGCTGTCAGGGATTGAACCACCTGCTGTTTAACAACTAGAAACTATTTTATGATCGAAAGAATGCAGAAAAATCAAAAGTGAAGCCAAGAGCCATGCAGCTGTGAAATAAGATGAGTTAAAGTCACTTCTGTGCCATAAAACTGAACATTTAGTGTCCACAGAGGACTTCTCATTAAGCACACCTTCAAAAGAACATTTTGTGCCAGTTTATGTCGTTACAATTTCCTACATTCTTGAAGTGTTCATGTACAAATGCCTCTTTGTTTTTGTCGTAAGAAAGCCAACATCTTCAGCTGATCACAGATGCTTCTTGGTCATGAGGAGCTGAGCGGTGCCTTCCTTTCGGGCAGACTTGACTGTATATAGCACATTTTTCAATGATACAAAAAAAATAAAAAATCTAGAGGAAAAAATAAACGGTGATGCACAAAGCAGCCTAATTACCGTTTTTCCAAAAAGAAACACTGTATCATACAAGCACATTAATCATTTGATAGCGTTTCATGCAAAACTAGACCAATACATTTTGGTTAGTATGCAGTATAGTTTATCTTAATGCTGACTGTGATCAAGGCTATTGCAATGCAAAATAAAGTTGAAAAAAATTCCTGTTAATTTGGTCTACTTGAATTGCAATCATAGCCAAGGATGGGACGACTAATTTCCTAACTTATGTAAACTAAAGCTAATTTTTCATCTGGCTTATATGCATGTTTGATATTAAGACAGAAATGTTCTTTTTTTCATGTTCTTTAAAATTGAAGGCCTTTAACATAATGTAATCGTGGATGTGTCTTTCTATGACTTTGCTCAAAATCCTAGCATAGAAAAAAGAAAACCTGGTGTACTCGTCTGTTCAATATTGTGAAATCCAGTGTCTGTCATTTTACAGTGAAAGCTTTTCTAAATAAATGCTGTGATCATCTTACTAATCATTTGAGAAGTCTGTCCATCCTTATCCTCATCTAAACAACCTTTCATCCAATAAATAAATTAAAATGAATATAATAATAATAATAATAATAATACAAAGCATTGTGTTAATGGAACTAGAGCATTAAGGCGAAACTTTCTCATGTGTTTTAGCATAGTCAGCATACTGTTCATGTTTTAATTCAGTAGTTCAAAACTGGACCCTTTTCTTATATTACTCATCTCAAGTATGGACCCTTCCACACATATATGGAAGAATGTTTGTAGGTGGCAGTATGTAGTTCACATGTTTGAACTATAGGCAAAAATAAAGGGTAAATGAATAATGACACGCTAACCTATAAAAATGTGTATTTAGCAGTTGTTTAAATGAACTAATGATGAAGTGAGGAAGCCTGCTCCAAATTTCAGGTGACAAAGTCTGAAAAGCATGGTTAATAGACCCGGACCAGATGATCGGAGAGAAGGAATAAGCTATAATAAGGTCTCAGTTGCTCTGCTACACACAGGAGTGTGGCCAAGTAGAGTTTTATATTTAGCCTCCTAAGACCCGAAGTCTTCCACGGCATGCATTTTTAATTTCCCTTTGATATTTGGGCTGATTCGGATGATCGATCGATTTTTTTTTTTCTACACAATTTTTGTTTGTAAGAAAACTCAGCCACATATGAGGATATTTGTTTAAAATTTCGATAGAACAGTAACAGTATAATGTCCTCGTAAGTGGATATCAGGCCCTTGTAGAGCAAAATTGAGTATTTTGGTCTTATTAATGCAAAATGTGATGTCCACATATGTGGATGCCAGGTCCTAGGAGGTTAATTTATAACATTTGAAAATGCATTCAAAATTTCACTGGAAGCCAATAAAGGGACGCAAGAAGAGGAGTGAGATTTCAAAATTATTTGGTGCCATTAAAGGTTTGATTTTTGCTTTGTTTCTTATGGAAGAAACAAGACTTATATGGAGCAAATATGATATGAAGACATTCAATACCATTCAGTTCAACCAAACAAGTTTGTGCTTTGGGTAATGATATTACATGATGATTCTATGGCATTTACATAAAGTGGCTTGAGGAAACTGTTGTTGCTGAATTAGAAAAACCCCGTCACATAACCTCCCATGAGCAAGCACCTGGTGATAGTGGGATGAATAAACTCACTTTAAAGAGTAAGAAACATCAGACAGAACCAGGGGAGGGGACGGGCTGCCATCTGCTGCAATTGGTTGAGGGTGAGGGGAGATCCAATTAGTAATGGCAATAACAATGAAGATCCACTTCAAAGAAAAGTTTCAATTTGAATATTAAATTTCTCATACTATAATGCACTCACTATGCAGTGGTGGCAGTACTGCATATGTACTATTTTTATTCTTTATCCTGCTGCTGTAACACAGTATGAGTGGAAAAACCATCAGAGCCATCGCTCATTCTGAAGGTCTTCGACTCAAATTGGTTTTCACAAAAGGAAAGTTAGAAATAGTCAGTGTTATATACTGACTGTGGTGCAGTAGTCAGCTCTGCCACACAGCAAGAAGATTCTAGGTTCAAATCCAGCCACCTGGGTCCTTTCTGAAAACGGGGCACTTGCATGGTCTACCCAGATCTGCACAGGCTCTCTCCAGATACTCCAGTTAGTGTTAATGGTTAATTAGCAATAGATGTACATGTGAGCATCTGTCTTTCTCCTCTGTTACCTGCCTCTCTTCCCATGACTGCTGGGTTCAATCTCCTAATAATTTGTTCATTCGCAGACATTTCTGAACAAGCACAAAAACACATGTAGTGAATGTGAATCCTTACAGCAGTTCTTCCATAATAATAACTTAATCAGTGTGTTTAACTGCATTTATAGGAAATCTATATGTTACAGCTACAAAATAATAACAATAATAATAATAATAAACAGGCTTAATTCTCTCCAGATAGAACTGAAAATGTTGTTGGTCGGCACTTATGTGTAAATCTTTTCCCAAAAACAAAATACCATCTCTATATATAGCGCTTTTATGACTATAGAAGGACAAGGTGAAAAATCAGTCCATGTTTCCTAAACAATTCTAAACCTTTTATTTTTCTAACAAGAGTGAAAAGAAACAAAAGGCAACAGTAAAATGAAAAGTTTATACACAAACTCACGACATCTGTGTGTCTGCAATATCAATAATAATAATAATAATAATATAATAACAATCATCTGAACAAAAGAAAACAAAATATATTGGGATAAAGTGAGTTACAGTGAAGTTAACCTTAACTTGCAAAGAGGGAGAGAATGACAGAGGGAGGAATAAAACCAGGAGTCAAAAGGATGGGAGGAAAAAAAAAAAGCATAGAGCATAGAAGGGAAGAAGAGAGGGAGGAAGCCAGGAGGTGTGGAGGTACATTTTGGGAAAGTAGCACCAAAAACATTAATGCCTGTTTTTAACACTTCCCAAAATTGACTTATTTAGAATGCATGTCCCCTCAAAACAGCATCAAACACGAGATTTGAAACAACTACAAAAAAAAAGAAAAGAAAAGAAAAAAAAAAGTGTATCCATGGCGCTGTTGTCTCAGATCAGTAGTCAAAATCCTCTACTGCAGCACAGCTTCAGGAGTCATGCCCAAACAACAGTCTAAAATAAACCCATAGCTTATCCAACTTCAACAAGTGACTCAAGTGAAGAGAAACTGCAAATGCCGGTCCTCGTGACAGGCTTCGCTTAAACTAGCTTTTAACACAGTTGGGATAACATAGCATACTGAAAGACCTCAGAGACAACTCTAGACCAAAGACACTCCTATTACGGCAAGTCTCACATCTGTCAAGCACAGTCTTATTATGTTCACAGGAAGAATTCGTCCAGGGAAGGTGGAGAATAAAGTTTGGGTAAGACTGCGAGTCTGAACAACAACAACAACAACAAAAAAGAAAAAAAATAATAATAATAAAAAATCCGGACAAATGAGATACTGCGGTGTTATGGATGATACTGGAGTGTAGAAGAGTCACCACTCTTAGTGTCTGAATGCATAAATGAGGGGTGAGAAGGAAAGCAGAGCACAGGGGAGGTCCTGTATCTCTCTGTAACTTGATACAGTCTTCTGGCACAGAAAGCCCCTGTCCCTTCAGTTTTTCAGGCTAACTGACTGTAACGAAGCTCCAACGATGACTGCATCACAAAATCTATCAAAAAAATAAATAAAGGTTAACACTAAGGTACTTTATGCATTTCAAGGTAAAAAGAAAAATCTAGAAAGGGGATATGATACCTCAGGATGGGTCTGGACAGGGGAGGGGGTGTGTCTGAAGGGACAGGTTTTCTTTGTCTCCGAGGCATCCAGTGACCTTTGTCCTCCGTCCCCACTGCCCCCTCTGTGGCTCTTCCTCTTCCTTTTGGAGTCCTTGGTTCGCCCACGGCCTGCTCGTCTCTGCTCTTCAAGCTCAATCTGAGAGATGATGAAAGAAATGTAAAAAAAAAAAAATAAATAATAATAATCATCAGGGCTCTAGACTAACTTTTTGACACGGGTGCACCGGTACGCCTAACTTTAAAAATGTAGGCGTACCGGCACAAAAGTTAGGCGCACTCAAATTTTTCAACCGCATCGCTTATCACTGCAGTTTTACATGTGCACTTTCTTTAGGGGGGGGGGGGGTCCATACAGATAATATTCATTTCTAAGTGATTAACTAACAAACTTGTGCTTAACGTGCTTTGTCAATATTGTAGAAAATTTTAAGCTTAATCATCATCTTGGCCTCCTCTGACAATCTGTTTGCTGCTGTCTGTTGCTGAAAGGCACTGGGGAGAGGGGACACTTGGGCACTCCATTTATTGCAGCATATAATGCGTTTTCTGGATACACTGTGCTTTTTCAGCGTTCAAAGATTGATGGCACTGTGTCAGAGCACTGGCTATGAATTTCAGATGGATCAGGCCTTAACTTAACAAAAAAGTTATCAATCGTTCTTTTCATCTTTTCTTATTACCCACAGCTACATCCACTTCTGTCGGGCGTAGGCTGCTCACTAGGGCTGGGTATCATCACTGATTTCTATAATCCATTCGATTCCGGTTCTCAAAGTCCTGATTCAATTCAATTTAGCCTCAGACAGTCAGAAATATAATTCTGATCATTTATCAGTACTGATACATGTGAGACTTCATCAGAATTGTGAACATTACAGCAGATGCCTTTGTGTGAAAGTAACTGAGAATAAAACACAGAAAAACATGAAGGAGATTTTCCTGGTCTGGCTTTTTATAGCAGATAACCTTAAAAATATTCTGCAATATTCTGCAATTTTGCATAATTTTAAGAAGTTTACATTTCTTCAGTATTGAACAGCAAAAATTAGGCTTTCTTGTCCAAGGTCATTTAAGTGAAAAAAGAAAAAGACAACAACGGTAGACTGGTGGGTAATAAGCGAATGAATAATGCAGAAAACAGATTTGAGACGGGAAACTGTTCCTGAAGTACACAGAGAGCTGTGTATGAAGTTTAATTTTTATCGTGGTGGAAGCAAAACCGCAAAAGTCAGAGGGAATTTATGACGACATTGATCAAATGTGAAGCGCAGTTTGCTGCTTCTTTTGCTGCTGGCTCTGCGAATTTTGGTTGGAGAGAGACAAAACCTGCGGCTCAGAATCAGTGCAAAAAAGACGCATCAGAATTGCTAAGCTCCGACAGCGTATCCGTCTACGGGCCGTCGGGTGAGAAAGCCGAGAAAGACAAAGCTGATTCTGATGTGTCGGGTCCACTCTGTGTTTAC